GTCCCCTCCCTCCCCCCACACCACACTCACAACCCTTGGAGAAATACCACGTCTCGAAGCTTGGCTTTCAGTGACTTAACTTGTAACAGTCACTCCTTAATTTCGTATGGTGTTTGCATTTTCAGCTTTTCAGGCAGTGGGGATTCTGGGGCGCCTGGGAATCCAGTGTCCAGGACAATCTGTGACTCACTTCTGGATCTATGGTCAAAGTCTGGTGCTAGATAGATCCTTGAACCTGAGTGAGAGTTCTAGTTCCATCCAGACCAAAGGTCCTGTCCTTGCTTCTTCCCACAATCTTCCCATTCCAAATTCAAACATGGTGTCAAGTAGCCCATGTGGAACTGGGGAGTCAGTACCTTCCAGCTCCATTAGAAGCGGGGGAAACAGGAACACAGGGGGTTTCACTAGATGGATAGTTCCTGCTCCTAATTCGTTTGGTTTTCTGGAAAAGTCCATTTTAGCTTGGCTGCATTTAGGATCCCACATATGTTTTTGGCCACCACTCGCTCCTCTCTCTTCCTTCCCCCTGATGTCACGGCCTAATGCAAGGGGCAATGTTCATCGTGTTATGAATAAAAGCCCACTTGAATCCCACTGTTTAAAATACAGTGAACCCTGTTGATATTGATCTCACTCACAATGCTTTCCCGCATATGATGTCCATCTCTTAAAGTATGGGTCATGTTTCCTCTTAAGATCTTTTCTTATCTCATTCCCCTAAAATGATATAAACAGTTTCAGGATTCTTGATAATTAGGTATTCGGGCAAAGAAGAGACATCCTGTTCTTTTTTTTTTTTTTTTCTTTCAAGTTTTTAAATGATCGGGATACCAGAAAATGAAGTCATGGGGAATACAAATGCTTGCTTCTCATCTAGGATCTGCTTTCCTTCCCAATTCTATAAAAAGGAAATGCATGAGCACACAAGCTCCTGGCAGCATCTGAGCCCACCCCCCTGGTCGCCAAACCAGCCTCACGTTGCCCTGGAATGACCCAATTGTTGGGTCACGCAAGAGTGAATTAAATACTTGTTCAGGCTGTCTGCCTGGCGTCTGTCGTGTCCCCTCCAGACAGACTTTGAAGAGGGCTTGGTGATGGAGCTTGTTTGTTTCCTTTTGTCCCACTGGCTGACGGTTAGCAGTCTCCATTTTCTCCTAGATCCTGCCCCAGGGGGCGCTGTGGCCAGAGCAGAATGCCATGCCCACAGGCAGGAATACTGGAGGGAGCGTGGGGATGTCCTCGGCAACTTTCTCTCTACCGAGGAACTGGATCATCTATAGGAACCAAACTCCTGAAGTCTGGGGAACAGCAAAGGCTGAGGGACTCCTCACGGGAGGCACTCAGGGGACTCGTGGGGTCAAGGAAGGTAGAGGAAGTCAGGGAAACAATTTTGTTGTTGTTGTTTTAAAAAGTAGGGTTGCAGAGAGAGGTGGGGATGCTTTAGTGTAAGAAGAGGTACCCCAAACCCTGATGGAGGACAGCCTTACCCAGAGAGGGGATGACTCACTGAAGGAGAGCAGAAGGAACGAGAAGGGAGCCAAGAGCCAGATCCTGAGATTGACAGACTTTCTGTGACAGTCTCTAACAGCAATAAAACCCTAACTAAGAAACAAATCTTATGAGGGATACCTTTAGATTGGACCTGGTGGTTCACGAACTTGGGAGGTGGAGGCAGGAGGATCAGGAGTTCAAGGTCAGTCTCACACGTGTAAGGAGTTTGAGACTACCCTGGGCTACATCAGATCCTATCTCGAATGAAAGAAAGAAAGGATAAAAGAAAAAGAAGCTATCTTTTCTAACTTCTATGAACATTTATAACTATTCTCCAGACTTCAAACACCTTCATCCATCCGCTGGGTATTTATTGAGCACCTGCCTTGTGACAGGTGCTATACTGGGTACCAGGCAAATCAATGAACAAATGGACAAAAATCTCTATTCTCAGGGAGCTTCTAGTCTAGTGAGGACAGAGAGACAGTGGCCAATAAACAAACTAGGAAATTATATACTATAAAGTGTTAGCTGCTTTGAAAAAAATCAAAGTTTTTTCTTTCATTCTTTTTTCCTCTCTCACTGAAAACAACAATTAAATGACATTTTCTCTCCTGGAACATGAGGCACCAGGAAAGGGCTCTGGGTTCTGTTGCTGTCCTTGGGTCTGACTTCTTTGTCAGCTCCTTTTGGGATGATTCTATTAGCAGGTGAACTTGGGCCTCCTGGGCTGAGCTCAGAGGTGCTAAGCAACCCCCGCTCCCACCTGCCCATATGAAATCCAGCAGAGAGTGAGGGGCTTTTCTTTCCCTTGCTAGCAAAAGCCCCGGGCCCTAAGACCCTCAAAATGAGCTGGCTGAGTCCCAAAGACGACAAAGGACCCAGCCAGTTCAATTTGAGGGTCTTAGGACTTGCAAAGGCCCAGTGGGAAGGTAAGCGTTGGTTCCACTTCACAGGAGAAAGGGTCTGAGGTCAGGAGAGAAGAGGGCCATTGACAAGCAGAAACACTCGTCGTATCAATCACCACAGTGAGCCCTAAGTGCTTTCTCTTGAGCCTTTCAAACACCGACTTAGTCTGAGAATCTGTAAATCCAGCTGCCCAGAGAAGGGAGGGGGGCTAGTCAGGGTCTCTTACCAGTTAGGGAGCCAGACACACTCTCTCTCTCTCTCTCTCTCTCTCTCTCTCTCTCTCTCTCTCTCTCTCTCTCTCTCTCTCTCTAAATTAGGGTCTCATGTGTAACCCAAGAGGACAGCCAATTCACTATGCAACGAAGAACCTTGAACTTCTGATTTCTGATCCTCCTGCTAAGATTGTAGGCAGCCTGGGGCTCCGTGCATGCTAGGCAACCACTCTACCTACCAATTGAGCCATTCCCAGCACCAAGAAAGGGTGTTGCTATATAGCTAGTCCTGGCTACTTGAGACCCTGTCTCAAAACAAAACAAACCCCTCAAAATTCAACAAGGTTGATTTAAAATGTGCACAAGATTTGAATATGATCTGTCTTCAGTAATTAAGATATGTGAACTGTATTGTACATAAGTCATAGAAAGACACGGAACAATATAAGGCCTTAGGAAACGCAAGTTAAGGTCACGAGTTAGGGGTTGGAGAGGTGGCTCGCTGGTTTAGAGTACTGGCTGCTCTTCCAGAAGACCCGGGTTTGATTCGCAGAACCTACATGGTAACTCAAAATCACCTGCAACTCCAGTCTCAGCGGATTGACTGCCCCCTTCTGACCTCCATGGCACTGGTCATACACACGGTGCACAGACGTACATTTAGGCAAGACACCCATTGGGCTTAAACTCAGTTGCATCCAGCAAGGACGTGTCAAGGCAGAGGACAAGTGAGTTCGAAGGCCTCATCACCCACCGACATATGTCGGGGCTTCAAATGGCTCACAGAGCCGAGCACAAGGGAGTTAAGTAGGGGCAGACAACAGACACCTGCTAGATCAGCACTGCTGACAGTCAAGGAAACTGACCTCTGACCTCTTCTGACTTTTAAGACTGCCAACATGTTTGTACCATTTCACATCTTCACTAGAGGTATAGCAATGATATAGCTTCTCCACATCCTTTTCAACATTTAATATTCTCGGTGCTATTTAATTTTTAAAAATTTAACTTGTGCATGTGGTGCTGTGCCTGAGTGCACGCATGCGTACCAAGTGCATGCAGCACCCATGGAGGCCGGAAGAGGGTGTTGGAGCCCTTGAAACAGGAGTTAGAGAAGGCTGTGAGCTACCATGCGGTGTTTGGAACTGAACCCAGGTCCTCTGCAAGAGCAGCCAGCGCTCTTAGCCTCTGAGCCCTCCCTCCAGTCCCAGCCCAGGTTTTAAATCACAGGCAAAGTATAAGTTATTTTCTACTTAAAGAAAGAAACTTAAAAACTCGGAACAGATATAGAGCCGCCTTTCACTTTCCTCTACTTGCTGACACGTTTCTGTTTGAGGTGGAGACAGCCCCTGCGGGACTGCAGCATCACCCACACCTGACATGACTAAGGCTTTGGGGCCAGGTCTTTGATAAGACGCTTGACTGGGGAGGAGGGGCTCAGAGACCAAGCGAGGCAGAGAACAAATCATCCCTGGGCACTGAGGGCCTGTCCACCATTGGGGGTGATGCTCGTGTTTGGAGGGGGGTCATGCACCCCTGGTAAGTGCTCTGTCTGTGAAGGCGTTCAGTAGGGCTTGCTATCACCGAAAGTGTCAAGAGGCTCACGGAATCGCAGGAGCTCCTGCTTTCAGAGTGATCATGTGACTGGTCTGGTTCAGGGCTCCAGTAATTACTTGCTCATTCTCAGAGTGGCTGGTGGGAGAAGTGGGGTAGACAGGCCCTCTGAAAGGGAAGGGGGAAGTGTCCAGCTCACATGCAGTGAGCTTGAGGCTAGCTCAAAGGGATCCAGAGATTTATCGAGGGCCATTGTTGGTGAGGGTAATGCTGGCATTTAAATTTAGATTTTAGGTTTGTGGTCCTTTTAGCCACCAGGTTACAACATCTGTTTCAGAGTATAAAGGCACTTATAAAATAAGTTTTATTTCTAATTTGTGTGTGTGTGTGTGTATTTATACATACACTGTGTATGCAATGCTCTTGGAGGCCAGAAG